AAGACATAGGTCCACGGAAATACCCTCCCATTCTTCTCGAATTATCTCATGCCAGTCCGTAATGCTGATTTTTTTTTTCCTGATTATTTTGTTCACTCGTTTCTCCACCCTTTTCTTGATAATAGCCCATAAATTCTCTATTGGGTTTAAATCCGGGCTATAGGAGGGCCAATCGAGGATCTTCGGGACTTGACAACGAAGGAGTTCTGCCGTTTCTTTTGCCGTGTGCTTTGGGTCGTTGTCCTGTTGGAAGACCCAGCATAACGGCATGATCCTAGATGCATTCTCAAAAAGATTATTAGTTAAAATGTCACGGTAAAGCGATCCATCCATATTCTGAGTGAAAATATGAAAACCAATCGTTCCCCGTGCCGAGAAAGCGCCCCACGCATGAACTTTTGCAGGATGTTTTGGAACCCCCTTTTGTGGAACATCTGTACCAGCCTTGTAGAATGCAGTCATAGTGTTACGAAATATCTGAAATGTAGTTTCGTCCGAAAATACAACATTTTTCCAGTTTTGCCTTGCATGAGCAGTCGCCCATTCCACACGGCATTCGTGTTGTTTCTCGGTAAGTAAAGGCACTGTTTTGGGGTGACTTGAGTGGTAACCAAGCCTATTAAGTTCACGGTTTACTGTTCGTGCTGATATTTTGACCATACTATTAAGCTTAGTGGCAATTTCTCCGCAGGTAAGGTATTGATCATTTTGAATAATTCTTCCTAACACGCGACGATTTGGGGGAGTTAAGATTGTTGGACGTCCAGGACGCGAAATAGGTTCAAGTTTATGATTTTTTTTTAGTTGAGTAATATACTTGTATATTGTAGAAAGGGGGGTATCACTTAATTTCGCCAGAATCGGGGCGTCACGAATGCCACGGCTCCAAAGCTCACTTACGGTCTTTCGTCGGTCAGCAAGAGGGATCTTGTCCATTTCGCAGTAAAAAAGTGATGGAGACTAAATAGGGAAGGATTTTTTTTGTAGCTTGTTTTTAAGTTACACATGTAAACAAACCGTCATTAAAAGCTGATGTTATTGGGGGTACACAATTGGAAAATTTATATATACAGTTCACGTCAAATTAAATTCTCGTTATTTATGACGAGCACTGTATAATTGAAACATGAAAATGAGGAGGAAGTATTAGCTGATAGAGCTATCTGTCCAAATAGATATGACATTTATTAGCTTCATAAAAAATTTCTTGATTAGATCGTTGGTGCAAGAAACGGGAAAAACATGTTTAGCAGATTAGCTGAAGAAATTGAGGAATTTAATATTAATGAAAAAGGGTGTGCATGGAATGTAACCGTAGATTAAATCTTGATCCTGGGCAACCATTTATCCTTGTAATTATAACTAATCTAATGAAGTGCTGTCATTCTCTGCAACAAGCTAGGGAGCTGGTATACATAGATACTACCGCTGGTCTTGATGCTCTTAACACTCCATTAACAATTCTCTCTGTAAGTATGCCCATTGGAAGCTTCCCTTGTAGGGATACTTACATCAGATGAAACTGTGCACACTTTTACAGAGGTATTGAATATATTAAAACGTATAATGCCATTAGAAGCATTTAATGGACGTGGACTTATAAGTGGACCAGAAGTTTTTATGACGGCCGATTGTAAGGCGGAGAGAACAGCGTTATATAATACTTGGAATAAAACAATCTTACTATTGTATGCCTTTCATTTTTTACAGACAATGTGAAGATGGTTGTAGGACGGAAAACATGGTATTAGTATGAATGATCATGTTGTTATAATTGGATATTTGGAGAAGATTGTTTTTGCAAGGACAGAGATTAAGCTTGAAGAATTTAATGCGTTAATAAAGAATCAAACATACT